TAAACTTACACAAATTGCCAGCTAGGGTTTCCAAAAATTTCCAAACCTCCTCTTTTTGTAATCTTGATTTAGTTTGAAGTTAGTATTATTGAGCAAAAGGAGCAGTCATCAAAGGCGTAGATAATGCGTTTTTATTGACCCGATCTTGTCGATATTGGACATTCAATAAAATCGGGGTAGGTGTTCTGGGTGATCTACCATGCCCCGGTAATCTGTCTAGAGGGGAGGTCGACTACGCTTTCAATGAGTAGCTGAAGCGGTATGAATCAGTGTGAGAAGACTTGGTTTATGTACTAAGAAGAAGAAGGAGTATGTCCGTCGGTTTTGTTTAGCTTCTAAGTTTACACCACCCAATCGTTATTATCGCATTATTATTATTATTATTGTTATTTTTCACCCTCGAATTTACGTCTAGTTTATCGCATTTGCATCAAGTTTGATCACCGGATTGATATCAGTTAGTGAACCGGAGAGCTGTTTCATCTTCGCTTTTTAAGACTGATAGGGGCAGTACACATACAACATAGGAGCTCAAAACCAAGACCTACCAGTTACTATTCAGTCACTGGGACTTAACTTAACGCCTTGTAACCGGAAAGTCCTGGTTTCGGAACCCCAGTGTGTGGGAGGAGGGGTGGCGTACTAATGAAGGAGAGTCCCAAACTAGGCTGACGCAGCAACAGCTGTGTACAGTACTCACTGGAGGGTTTCAATGGTTCTCTCTCTAAACTGATGTCAAACTCGTGATCAAATCTGTAGAAGTTATTTGTCATAATTTTTTTAAATCGCCATGCCTATTTACTACAATCTTGACTCTCTAGTGTTAGTTTTAATCTATGGGCCATTTGATCGGGTTCCAGTGGCGTAATGGTATACGAGCTCGCCTTGTAACCAGAAGGTCCTGGGTTCGAACTCCGGTGGTGCGTACTACTTAAGAATCCCAAACTAGGACGAAACAGCTATCCAGTACTCCCGGGTTTTCCAATGGTTCTCTTACCAATGTCAGCTCATGATGAAATCCTGTGGCCAATCCAATCCCTACAAACCAACACTTGAATATTAATGCATTTAATTGGAACTAAAACCCTCTGGCTACTACACGTGAACTCGTAGACCATCTGGTCACGGAGACAGACTAATTAGTCTAATGCTCATTAGAAAATGACTGACCACAGGATGACGTTACCTGAAGTCTTAGTAGGAAAATCTTCACCAGCGGAATCGTCCATCAAAGTTAGGTGTGAGGAAGACCATTCACCGATGACATTGCATGGTGGTCGCACTATACATCGTGACTTTCTAAAAACTTAAAATAAACATAAGTCTTCTTTATTTCTTGTGTTCCTGTCGGAACACAGAGTTTCAAAGCCTGAGATATGGAGTTCCAGTGGCGGTCGTCTTATTTTTACGGGGCGGCGTGGAGTTGATAGCCTTACATTCAACCTATCCTCCTGCTTACTACAGGTTAAGTGAGGTTTAACAGTACACATCGGAGGGGAATCGAACCCTGACCATATATCGGGAATTAACTTATTTCCATGCTGATTTTGTCACAAAACAACATCATTCAAAACCCCAGTAGACGTCTGATTTTTTTTTTCGATAGTACACATTTACAAACTTATGTATTCGACAGTGACACACTCCTCAACAGACCTTCAACTAAAAGAAACCAGTTATCTATATTCCTAATTATGGTGAACGGGATTATTCATCAAACCGAGGGGAGCGCGAGACGACAGGAATACGTTGATCTGCCCGATAAGAAGACTCTAGAAGATCTGGACTTCGTGAAGGAAGGGAATATAATGGCAACTGGAACTACTAAACATCTGTGCAAAGTTCTATGTTGAAACCAGTCAGTTAATCGTGTTAGATGAGTGCGTGTATTTAAAAAAATTGACATTTTTATGCTTAGAAAGAAGCATATAATAAGGCTAATGGATAATGGATATAATAACTACTAATGGATTTAACCCTAACTCATTTCAGAGACTCAAGGATTGACTTGCTACCAGAGAATAATCTCGCTGACTTACAATATGCAGACAATATAGTCCTCTTGGCTGAAGATTCTGACAAAATGTAGAGTTTTCTAAACACCTTGAGCTGCAACTTACGAATGTTTGGCATACGATTCGCTCCTGCTGTCAAATGTAAGATGATGTTATAGGACTGGAACTACACTGACTCCCAGTTTAGAAATAGAAAGTGAAGTGGTAGAGCACGTCGATCGCTTCACTTATTATTTGGGAAGTACCATTTGAAGAAATCTCAGCACGGATACAGAGGGCTAGTTTCGCATATATCAGTTTACTCTGTCTCTGGCGTACACGTGATATTCGACTATCGATCAAAGGGCGATTGTACTGCTGAGAAGTCCGCTCCATCCTCGTTTATGGCTGTGAAACCTGGCCATTGAGAATGGAAGACATGAAAAGACTAGCTGTCTTTGATCGTAGGTGCCTACGCTCTATCTTCCGTGTGAAGTGGTATGATATAGTGAGCAATATTGAGGTTAGGCATCAGTCGAGTGCTAGGTAGGTGGGAGGGGAAATCAATCGACGAGGCTGTGAAATTACATCGACTGAAATGGTTAAGACATGTGTTACGCATTCCTAGTCATCGCCTTCCTCGATAATGGGCAATGTTAGCTGACATAGGGTCAGACTGGAAAAGAGCCAGCCAGCGGTGGTCAAACCAAAACATTGCTTCACCAGTCAATGAAATCCACAACAGTTAGTTTGAGCCAGCTACGTAGGAAGGTGCAGACTTCCTGACTGGTTGGAGTCCTCAGGACAGTAAACACCAATGAAGGCTGGAAACAATTAGTGATATGGCTCAAAATCGTTCTCAATGGCTGGCGAAGATGCATCCACTCCTTGTGACTTATGATTTCCAATGAAACTATAGTGTTCTTCGTTATTACCACTCCTTTGTCTGACACCTCTGTTTACTGTATCTATTATGCATTTCTTCTACTTTCTTCTCTTGCTTTGTGTGCTACATGGAGGGAGTGTGGGGACTTGAACTGTCGCACATTTGTGCAAAGTTCTATGTCGAAAACAGACAGACAGAAGAACGATGATTAAGTTGTTATATATATAAGCTGAGTGGATTTTGTAAATTCTGTAATAATACTACTTTGATAAAGTTATTAGCAGCATTTAAGATAGCGAAGCGGCAATATCGTTTTATTTTTCATTCATTGGGAAATACAAAGAACCTTTATTATAATGAATATAGGAACAGAGTTCAAGGGTATGTAACTTAGCAGACAACAACCGAAGTGACCATAATAATAATAATAACTTTCTATAGTTTGTTTTGTAAGGGTTAGTTATGTTTTACGAGTTGAACACGGATTGATATCAGTTAAAGAACCATTGAAAACCAACAGGGAGTACTGGACAGCTGCTGTTTCATCCCAGTTTGGTAATCATCGGCTGTACGTACCTACTGGGATACGAACCCAGGATCTTCCGGTTACAAGGCGAGTTCGTTGGGGTTCCGCTAAATCACGAATTGGTAGAAGTTATAGAATTCATGAGCCATTGAAACTTATTATATGGGAACGGATATTCGGAAAAAAATTTGTTAAGGTCTACGTGAAGAGGACAGATGTGACTGACTTGTGTCAACATAGAACTTTCCACGGATGTGTAGTAGTTCCGATTGCCATACACAGCAAGAGAAGAGAGTTAAGAGAAACTCAAAGGAGAAATAATAAACAGAAGTGTGACGGGAAAAGAATAGTAATACGGACAAATCACAAAGACCGAATACATCTGTGCCAGCCATTGAGAACGATTTTGAGATATCTCACCGATAATTGTCTCCAGCGTTCATTGGTTCTTACCATCGTGAGGACCACAACCACACCAACAGTCCACACACCCCTACGTGTCTGGCTGGCTTAAACTAACTGTTGTGGATTTCATTGACTGGTGAGGCAATGTTTTGGTTTGACCACCGCTGGCTAGCTTTTTTCCAGTCTGACCTTATGTCAGCTAACATTGCCCATTATCGAGGAAGGCGATGACTAGGAATACGTAACACATGTCCTAACCATTTCAGTCGATGTAATTTCACAGCCTCGTCGATTGATTTCCCCTCCCACCTGCCTAGCACTCGACTGATGCCTAACCTCAATATTGCTCACTATATCATACCACTTCACACGGAAGATAGAGCGTAGGCACCTACGATCAAAGACAGCTAGTCTTTTCATGTCTTCCATTCTCAATGGCCAGGTTTCACAGCCATAAACGAGGATGGAGCGGACTTCTCAGCAGTACAATCGCCCTTTGATCGATAGTCGAATATCACGTGTACGTCAGAGACAGAGTAAACTGATATATGCGAAACTAGCCCTCTGTATCCGTCCCGAGATTTCGTCAGAGATCAACCACCCGTTGGGGCTGATGGTACTTCCCAAATAATAAGTGAAGCGGTCGACGTGCTCTACCACTTCACTTTCTATTTCTAAACTGGGAGTCAGTGTAGTCCAGTCCAGTCGTCAAGAAATTGACGGCAGCGAAACAGTTACGTCCCCAACTAGATCGAGACACTGAGTCCCTTTTTAAGGAAGAAATAGCGGAAAGAGTATCTGAGGTTGACAACACAACTTTTTCTGAGGTAGCCTGGCACAACATACAATTAGCTGTAGACACAGCTGTAAAAGCTGTTAATAACCTACCTCCTCATCCGAACTGATTGACGCAAGAAGACTGATTCCCGTGAGCCCCGATTATGATGAGGAGCGAAAGCTACTCAAACGAAAACTAACAAGAAAGTCTTCGCAACAACGGTGAACAGTGGTGGACGACAAAAGCGAAAGGCATCGGCGATTGGTAACACCAGACAACTATTTAGGCTTATCAGGGGAACAGGTGGTAAAAGGCAAATGATAAGTGAAACAATTTCTCTGATGGTAACAAATCTAAGACGTCAATAATCATCAATCTTATATGAGAAACCAATACATTCGGGGGACATACCTCCTTACTGGTGAGCTGGCTTTCACTGAACACTTTTCACTAGGTGAATGCTCCCTTCGACAATCAAAGCAGACAGAGACACCACAATCTACAGCTTGACAGTGCAAACGGTTTGGCCATTCACTAGGTCGATAGAATGCTACTCCAGAGCATACAGGACATGCATGCAAAAATTCCTATGGGAGAAAGAAAATGCAAAAACACAGAAATTATATTGGTTGGTCAAAATAACTGAAAAAAGGTTGCACAAAGATTTTTATTAATTCATGAAAAATTCCCATTCGAACATCAATAAAAGCAAGACAATAAAAGTTAAGGGAAGAGGCTCTTTTCAGCGAATTCATTTTCGTCATCAAGTTGTACACTCGGATTTATATACAATCTCCTTTTTCATGAAGGAGAGGAGTAGTCATAAAAATGATAGGTAATCACAAGTATATTGGCTAATATTAGTCAACGAATGCATAAAAGGAGTTGAATAAGTCCATCGGAGTTACAAAATGAGATGAATAATGAGTGAGTTGTAATCAGGATGTGCATATAGCATGGAATACGTAAGAGTTTCAAAGCCGGACCGATAGCTGCTACCTTCACGTGATGGTCGGGCTTGCACATCGCGGTGACCCACCAACAAGCTACACTGGCTGGAACCAATGTTCCTGCAGGTCCTACCATGCCAGGAACGTTGTTAGGATAGAGATTAGACTAAAACCAGTTACCGGCATTGTGCTAGGGGTCTGAGGCCGAAGTCGTACTGCTGGAGAACAGGGGTGTAACAGCCACAGTGAGGTGTTTCCCTCAGATGACCAGCATGTCAGCTAGCCAACTATGCTGTCCCTCCACTCCGCTAGAGAAAGGAGGTTAGAAAACGTTGATCCCAAAAAGTGTACATCCCGACTTACCCCACCTACGGTGGTCCGTAACCGGCGGTAAGTTTACTAATACGAAACTAATCCCAGAAATCAGTTCATACACGCCGTGTGTGACTGGTTGGTCTCAAGCATTTGTCCCCTGGGCTCTGTGGTCACGCAACACTAACCCTCTCTCTAATTCAGGTACCCGAAGAATCAAGCAACTTCCACGATGTGAGCAGCCGGGAAGTAACAACCGCCCACACACTTCCAAAAGCACACGAAGAGTTTCAAAGAAGTAAAAGAGCTATAAGAAGTTAGATCATAATTAATTGTTACAGAGATATTGAACAGCTATCATCCAGAATTCACTCTCTAGATGTTAGTTAGACTTAGAAGAATAGCCGAAGGAACTATAAGAAGGTCCATCCATAGGAAACCAACGTGCAACGACTGACTAGCAAGTTTCTGCACCTGGGTATCAATTAGTCGTAAACGAAACCTAATTATAAATCTTCTGCTACTCGCGTCCAAAACATATGCAGCTTTGATGCTCTAGAAGAGGAATTACGCATTTTGAAAGAAATCTTCATTCAACACGGGATGTCTACTAAGATTTATTGACGAGAAGATCAAATCGAAAATTCAAAGACAAAAGACATTATCTGTGTCAAAAAAAAGAAACTTTACATAAACCTTGATTTCAAGGGTGATCTACTCAGTGATGTCTTTAGAAGGAGAATTTCAAGCATCTTTGAGAACCTTCTTCGCAGTAACGCTAAGAGTAGCATTTATCCAGTAGTCCATTGGTCTACAATAGTCTTAAGGAGGAGATCTCGCCTTCTGACCAATTCTATGTGCATATATCAGTTCACCTGTTACTTTGGAACCAGGTACATTGGTTGTTCAACGCGTATCCTATCCAAAACGGTTGAAGAACACTATCCCACCACATAGTTGCAGAAAGGTGATAGTGGTTGCATAAGGAGTGCGATAATCGAACATGTCAACAAACGCCTCTTACAAAGCAATCTACAAAGTAAAGAATAACCTGCCAAAGTCAATAGGCTTTTGTTTTCTTTGCAATTTTGAAGCTTTAGCCATTCTCACACAGAAAAGCCGGAGTGATACATTCAAAAGAAGATTATTCAAACCCTGCAAATATTATGGTAACTAACTTATTGATTTCTACGTTCTGGACTTTTGTACTTCTTTGGAACTCTTACATAATTCCATATTTCCTTACGTTTCTATGTACACATCCTGATCGCAATTCATTCAGTGAACCATTTATCTTATTGCGTAACTCGAATGCACTTATTCAACTCCTTTTATGCATTCAGTGACTAGTATATATATACAACTATGTTTGTGACAACTCATCAATTTTATTACTACCCTCCTTCATGAAAAGGAGATGTAAATGCGACTGTATAGTCTGATGGCCAAACTGAATTTGTCGAACAGAGCCTATCGTTGAACTACACTTGTCTTGTTTCCATCAAAGAGTTTTACACAAACCCGGAGATTTTGATGTGTGTTTAAGTTCTCTAAGCTGAATGACTTTAATTGAGAACACTTCATTGTACTTCAGTACAATATCTTCAGTGTAAGATTCACTATGAAGTTAACTCATTTGAATTCGCCATGAGTGATATAACTGATCTCAATTCAAGAACATGAACTACTTATTAGAAGACACGAAATATACTTTCATATAGATCCATATAAACAACCATGGACATCAATTTGACTGGGAAGTTGTGGGCATTCTAGGCAGCAGAAAAACCGTGAGTGCTACAGAATTCCCACATGCGATTCGCCCCTGCTAAATGTAAGATGCTGCTACAGGACTGGACTAAGTCAACTCCTAGCTTAGTGATACGGAGTGAAGTGATAGAACATGTTGACCACTTCACCTATTTGGGAAGTTGTATCAGCCAGCATCAATGGACTGATTGGCGACGAAATCTCAGCACGGATCCAAAAAGCTCGAGCTGCTTTCGCTGACTTACACCATCTCTGGCGTAGGCGTGACATCCGGCTATCAACCAAGGGACATGTGTACTGCTCATCAGTTCGCTCCGTCCTTCTCTATGGCTCTGAAACATGGCCAATACGAGTTGAAGACATGAAAAGATTGACTCCTTTCGATCATAGATGTCTACGATCTCTGTCTCACGTTAGGTGGTGGTATAATAAGGTAAGTAATGTTGACGTTAGATGTAGAGTGTTGGTCAAACAGGGAAAATCAATCGATGAGGCTATAAAGTTACATAGATTGAGATGGCTAGGTCACGTGGTGCGGATGCCTAACCACCGCCTCCCCCGACGGGCATTGCTAGCTGATATAGGTGTAGGTTGGAAAAGGGTAAGTGGTGGCCAAACAAAAACATGCCTTCAATCCATGAAATCCTTGACAGTTAAACTGAGTCAGTCAGGTAGGGAGATGCAGACTTCCGGGTTGGGGCCCTCGGGACTGACTCTAGGAATCAATGGCTTGAGACAACAGGTGACATGGCTCAAAATCGTTGTCAATGGCCAGCGCACATGTATTCAGTCTCTGTAATCTTTCATATTCCTTTCTACTATTACCCATTCTGTTTCACTCGTATACTTGTCAAACTCTATTGATTCTCTTCACTCATCTTCTTGTCTACCTCTGTGTGCTATTTGGAACGTGGCAACTCGAACTGCTGCACATCCATTGTTATCGACCAAAGTTATCGACTAATAAAGAATAAGCCATACGACGAGAAAAGTCAAATTTGAAGTCAATAAAAACGATCAATAAAGATATGTAAATTAACAACTAATCATTTGTGAAGAATTCAGATGAGTTTACTTCAAACTAAAGCTTGCACTGAAGATGTCTAGAAGGAGAATGAGGGAGGGATTTGACAAAAGTTACTTCATTCACTTATCATCTAGGGAGCATTGTCGGAACGGACGAGGATGTCAAATCGAGCGAGAATCAGGAAGGTGAGCGAGAGACACATTCATCAACCTGAAACCAATCTGGAAATCTTCGTCACTCACTTAGCATCAACAACAAAATTCGGTCGGATTTTCAATACAAACAACATCAAGTCAGTCAGTTTTTCTATACGGATCAGAAACTTGGCGGGCGGGTCACAAAGAATATTTCCAACAGTCTGTTGGAGACCTTTATCAACAACTACTATCTTCGCTCTATACTGAAAGTGAGATGGCCGGTCCGGAAAGGATCACCAACAAGAAACTATGGGAACAAACAAACAAAACAAGAACCAATCAATCGCCAGCCAACAAATATGCAGGAGAAAGTGAAGATGGATTGGACACTCGCTGAGGAGGCCGCTGGGTGACATCGCACGCGCGTCAGGCCATCGCTCGAGTGGAACCCGAAAAAGAAGTGGCAAGTGGGACGTCAGTGTATGGGTGACATAAAGGAGATCGTGTGAAGAGGAGTTGAAACAGTATGGATTAACATGGATGCAGGTGAAAAGTACAGAAGACAGAAGCAAGTGGAGACGTGCAGTTGAAGCCGTATTTTCCACTAGGAACCCAAAGGAACAATAATAAGAAAACTTAACCACATGCTGACAGTGCTTGCAAAGAATCGTTAGGTATTGGAATGATAGAAATTTGCAGCTCAGATGGATAAGTAATAGCATGTGTTGCAAGGCATATTTAGAATCTGAGGATGTGTTCGAAGATACACAAAATAATCAATAATTCTAAGGAAGAAAGGTAGATGTAAAGCCTAGAGAAGTTGAAACTAGGACGACGACAGAGCACAAACACATTTTTGTCCCTGTGACCACTGGTTAAATAGTTGGAATGTGATTACTAGCGACACTTGTACACTGAAGAATGTAAGTTACACCCTGTTCCACACAACGTCGGAGTGGAACTTAGAGTTCTAACGGAAAAAATGGACACAAGCGCCCGATGTAGTGAGGGCATATGCGGTCATACATTATGCATATAGATAGTTAGATGCACTCACTCCTGAGCTCTTTCTAAAGTTATACAAAACATACGTAAGACCACACCTTGAACTGCACAAAATCATTACTCCCCTACTGTCTGTCTGTTTTCGACATAGAACTTTGCACAAATATGCGGAAGTTCAAGTCGCCACACTCCGTGTAGCACGCGAAGCAAGAGAAGAAAGTACAAGAAAAGCATAATAGAGACAATGAGCAGAGGTGTGAGACAAAGGGGTAATAACGAAGAACAATATAGTTTCATTGGAGATCATAAGTCACAAGGAGTGGATGCATCTTCGCCAGCCATTGAGAATGATTATGAGCCATGTCACCAATTGTTTCCAACCATAGATTTTTACCGTCCCGAGGACCCCAGCCTGGAAGTCTACACCTTCCTACGTGGCTTAGACCAACTGTTGTGGATTTCATTGACTGGTGAGGCCAAGTTTTTGTTTGACCGCCGCTAGCTTTCTTCAAGCCTGACCCTATATTCGCTAACATAGCTCGTCGAGGGAGGCGATGGCTTGGTATACGTAACACATATCCTACTCCCCTACTGCTTAGAAAAGACGCTAACCTTTTGGAAAGATTCCAAAGACGGGAGACAAAAGGAGTGATGAGTGTCGGAAATAAACCATATGATGAACGGCTGGAGAAAATAAGTCTTTCACACTTAGTTACTGTCAGCTTAGTGGTGAATTAATCACTGTATATAAGATTGTAAATGACCAGAATCACACAAACTTTCTGTCTGGATTCAACATAGAACTTGGCACCGAAGTGCACCAGTTCGAGTTGCCACGCTCCAAATAGCACACAGAGGTAGACAAGAAGATGAGTGAAGAGAATCAATAGAGTTTGACAAGTATACGAGTGAAACAGAATGGGTAATGGTAGAAAGGAATATGAAAGATTACAGAGACTGAATACATGTGCGCTGGCCATTGACAACGATTTTGAGCCATGTCACCTGTTGTCTCAAGCCATTGATTCCTAGAGTCCTACAGTCACACGAACAAAGGTATTCTGCGATTAAGTACGTTTGGGCTTCCTCGTGGAAATCCCCGGAGGATAACTCACTAAAGAGCAAAGGTTCGAGTGCGCTCCCACTCCTTTTCACTTCAAGTTTGCCACCCCTCGAACTCTCTACTGGCAGATATGGCTACTGCGCTGTCCATGGAAAGCTTTAAGTGGAGGCTGGACAATCACGTAGAGACAGAAAGACTGTGTAAAAAATAGCCTATCTTCTTAAAACTCACATACTATTAATGGTTATACATCTAAACTAATCTTCTTTACGTTCTCCTTTGTCTTGCTCTTCTGATTACTCCAATTATTACGTTTCTTACACTGTTATTATTATTATTGTTACCTCTTTTCGGCCACAGCCAAACGACTATCAGGTGTGAAAGGATCAACCCCATTAACAGTAGCAACACGGTCTAAAAACACACCGCACAATACAGACCATATATAACTAATCCCAGCACCACTACTTCTGGAGTCAACCAAAGCTATAACAGTCCAGTGGCAGGATGAATTATGCAGAAGACTAGGGACCTTTACCTTAAAACCGAGAAGCGAGCACAAATCAGATTGCAGAAGGCAGATTAACTTAATGTGCCAAATCTTCACCGTCACTAAATCTGATCCAGCAAGAATATTTTCCGGTATATATATGGATTCCAGCTAGGCTATTATTACTTTATCATTGACATGCCTTTTCTTACAGTTTACAAGAACTTCAACTCTCTGAAAACATCTTACTGTGAAATACAGAAACTACTCTGAGCTGGTTGATTTAATTGTGATGCTTCCACTGTCCTTCTAGACATGAATTCAGAACAGGCTTTAATATGAAAAGAATTGATTTGAATTCTCAACGAATGACATAATTAATTGTATCTCCTGACAACCTTTGTTGTGTCTGTCCGTTAATTTGCATTCGTATTGATCGCTTTTATTGATTTCGAATTTGACTTTTCTCGTCATGTGGCTTATTCTTTATTAGTCGATAACTTTGGTCGATAATAATGGATCTGTTAGTCGTTGGTTTATCTGAGTATCAGGCTTCTGGGAATTTAATGTCGTTTTTGGTGTTTCCACGACTTAAAATGTTTACACTTACCCAGTCAAATTGGTTCCCGTAGTTATCTACATGCATCTATATAAAAGAGTACATGTTATGTCGTTGGACACCTAATCTGTTTTGGGATTCCGAATCGAACATCTGAGAAGTAGCGGCTAGAATACTAAAACTAAGATTTGATGAGATGGACATGGCAAACAAGCCAACACTCACTTTATTCACTATTGTGCAGATCAAAGAATCCATCCAACAAAAAAGATAAGAACAATAGCATTTAAAAAATTAATTACGCGAACTGCGATAAACACTATATCGGTCAAATTGGGTATCCCGTCAGACTCAGAACTCAAGAACACAAACTAGCTGTCGAGTCATGACATGTTTTCTTTCATATAGATGCAAGCAGAAAATTGTGGACACCAATTTGACTGGGAGGACGCAAGAGTTTGAAACATAGGAAACACCAAAAATGCTAGGGAATTTACGGAAGCCTGGCTGGTACCCAGATCAACCAGTGATCGTTAAATACATGACTATAAACCAAATTTACCAACTAATAAAGAATAAATCACATGACAATAAAATTCGACTTCCCACAAAAAATGAAAATGAACACTAAAGACGTGAATTAACATTTCATCACAACAATGATTGTTGTCAGGAGATGCAATTGTATCACTCATGGGGAAAGAATTTAGACGAGTCCACTCTACATTAAAGCTTGTGCTGAAGCGGTGGTGTTGAGGAGGACAACGAAAGCCTCACAATTAAATCAACGAGTTTACAAAACCCAACTAAATCAAAATTATCCACCTGAGCTACACCCAAGTAAAACATTTTGGGGCGACTTCAGGGTTTCGAGAGGGAGGGAGCAGTTTGGGGGTAGGGGAAACTTTTCATCCCCTAAATAGACCCAAAAACTCCCCAAAAGTTATTTGGGTAAATCCTCTCTGTTAAAGAAACTAGTCTTGTTAATTATAAAAAATGAATAAAACCAACATTTATACTGTAAAATCTAATTAAGCATGCTAACTTTAGAAGTAAAACATTCTCACTTGTGCTTAGTACTCAATGAAAAAACGTATCAATCAACACAACACCAAGTTAATATGACATCAATTACCTTGGATTGGTAATTACACGATCTATCTGCAGGTAAAGAAGCCCCACAATAGTTAACGACACTAAGTGGCTTTCGACCAAGAGTTGATTTCGGCAGGTGTTTGACACGATTTTCCTACATTAAAAGATTAACATTAAACATGAAGTTTACCTCAGTACACTCATGCTTTTTTATGGTGAACATTTCTGGGAAGCGCCATTTTAATGAGTGCCATGATTTACACACAGAAAGCATTGGCAGACGGTCGCAAACTTTCAAATACCTGAGCACTTTTCGAAGTACATACCCTGATCTCTCATACGACATCAAAGCGGACAATATATCTACACGTCGTTTGCCCCGGAGACTTAAAACATCAATAGAACATAAATTATCTTACGATTTTCTGGCCCCAAAACACCTTTCTTCATCAAAACTGTCAGGGAATACATCAATCTCCGTAGCAGAAACAGGACTGAAAGTAATTGAAGAGCTTGTGGCATAGCCCGTGTCTTGCATTAAATCTGTTGAAACTCCAGCAGAACAGCCCTCATTACGACGTGGTGTAGAAGTATATTCTATTCCAGAGAACTTGCACCTTCCCTTTTCTTTGTGTAACATCGTCAACGATTTGAAACTACAACGTTTCAAGAGAGCGCCGTTTATTAACGGACTATTTTTCGAGGTAGACAAAGGTCACTTACACTTACTCCTTGCCTAGAAGAAAAGCAATAGGAAAATAAATAGAGATGAAAAAATTCCTTTGAATATAATTACTACTTAGTGACAGATGTGAGGGGTATTTAACTGGACATTATGGCACCGTTCAATTTTCAATATCCATTATATTTGCGATAAACCTCTACAAACCTCTTGAATTCTTGTCGTTTTGGAACAAATCTAAATCTCTAACGAATTCCAGCGCAGAAAATACATCCCCTTGATCTTTGTAGCTACGCTTAACACAATGTGATGAGGTGTGTTAATTCATTTTGAGGGAAATATGTAGTTAGAATGCATGAACTTGTAAGTTTCACCAGTGTGTCAAAGTAACCTTGGGGAGTGTGGCGTTATGGAATAGAAGGGAGAGAGAGAATTGCCAAGTACCAAAAATAGGAACTAGCTCAAAATGACTGAAAATACTGCATGATGAGGATATAAAAAGGACTAGTATTTATGGAAGCTATACAACATGTAAAGTTAGATAGACCAGTGAAACAGAAAAATCCAAAGAGTGCGTTGCTCGCAGTACCTGTACAATCACCCAGAACAAGGCCGCTTCTCCTACAGATATGCAGAGTCCTTTTGTTACTGTGTATTCGTCTAGCCCCCTTTTGAAGTTGTCGACTGGTGGGTCAGGTGCCGAGGCACCGGCGATGAATTCCATAAATGACAAATTCTACTGTATGATGATTACGAGTTCTGTTGGGATTACTACGAGATAAGCGACAGCCCCCTTGAGACACTACATCTTGTTTCGGGAGATTAGACTGTGTACTATTTTATTCGATGCCAGATTCTTCATGTTTGTGTGATCTCTCTGAAGCCTTGCCAACATTTCCTCAACTATTAGGACTATCCACGACTATACTTTATAAGTGTGGAGAAGTGTTGAAGAGCCTGTGTTGTGTAACAGTTAGCTTATGAAAGTCCGAGGAAAAGGTTAATGGAGATTAGCTGCATGCGGTAATTCAGTATATGGTAATCACTATCTTGTAAATTCCTCTACTCTTTAGACAGACATCACTCCAGGATAATACTGGGTTACCTATTCTTGATTTGAGGACTTTCAAGAGAAATATTTAGCGCCACATTGAGTTAGAAGTGTTGATAACGCGTATCAGCACCACGTGGACTCGACTACTCTGATTTTGGATCCTGTCCGGTTGTTCTAGTCTGCCAAAGGGTTGGTGGTGCCTGGCTTATCGTTCCTGAAATCATGAAGAACTTTCTACAGAATGTTATTTTACTTCAATGTTTCTTTGACGTCGTCATCCATTAGGTGTTCCATCATCTCTGGTACTGTTGGCGGTAGAGCAACATATCTATAGTACCACTTGTCGATTCTCCCTATTAAAATCTGTAGATAGGACAGTTTGCTTTAACGAGGTCTAAGACAGCTTACTAATTGGGATGCATAGGACTTGGCATACTACCTAAGAAGCAGTGATCTGGTATCATCACATCCAGGGGACTTCCGAGATACGGGTTAGTAGGGTCTTCCGGAAACCCGCTTAAAATGTTTTGAAGACTAATGTCAATGTAGTTGAAGATTGAACGACCAATTCTTGGTTGTTTGCTCAAACCCAACTTCCCTATATTTTCGCGGAGGCATCAATACACCAGTCATCGTCTCATCGGTCGCTGTTCAAAAAGAACGTAAAAAACCGTCAGAAGTAATATCGTGATTTATTATTGCAATATATGTTCATAGACCATAGTTTATTATGCTGCTATGTTGGTGTTAGAATAAAGAATTCTCGAGTCGCCAATCTGTGTTCTGGTTTTTGCGTCCGTTAGTACTAAGCGTTTGTGAAAGGCTTCGAGGGACAGCGTGAGGCCCAGCGTAGCACGAGCTGGGCATCAACGGTTTTTGAGACGTGACTGACTAGTCTAAACGATGTTAGATATCTGAAAGGGTTACCAGGTTAAATGAGAACCGTTAGCTTCTGTACCATTGAGCTGTCTTTCTGGTGCACCGTCTGAAGCTTTAATGACCTCTCTGTTGCTAGGAGGTTCACAATCTTGACTTCTAACCACACTCACTCTCTGATTTATGCTTTTTCCCGAGCGACGAATCGGCACAGATTTTTGAGATGTTTCGAAACCTCCTGGCTGGTTTAGCCCTCTGAGACTTTTGTGCCGTGCTGATTTCTTATAGCAAAGTACCTGCTGCTGACTTGCTTCCCTCCCCAACATCCTTTGCTTGTACCAAGCTATTTTTTAGCCATAAGATGACACTACGAATATATCTTTAGTCAGTGTTTTCTTTATTATGGGGAGGGAGTTCCTGAAGGCTGTCGTGACAACTCCCTTCAATTACTCCCAGTTCCCATTATAAGTTATTAGGTAGCACTTCTAATCCCTGGATGCTAAAACAGCTTCTGTCACATGTCAGAGGTTGGCCGTGCTGTAACGGAAACAAGCAGGAGTGTTATTTCTGGGTGACTATTCCCTGATAACTGGGGTGAGCACCGCCAATGCGCGATCACCACAGTCTATTAGTTCTCCTATACTTAATTTTCCTGTGAGTATTTAGGAACCTTTTTTATCAAAATAATCATTAAAATTACCAGCGAGTGGCTCATAATATCGTAGAAGACCAATGGTATTCATGAACCCTTTTCTTCGAAAGTACGGCAGGGGACAAGTGAATCGAGGAACACCTAGTCAAACAAAAAAGGGCATTCATCACGGATTTGATAAAGAAACACTTAGCATTATGTGCGTTAGCCTCTATATGCAATCCGTCGTTGATGATGATCACTGAAGCCTGGTGCTCAACTGATATTACGGATTGATAAGTACAATCTTTTTAGAGGGGATAAGGAAACAGGTCGTGGGGCGGAACACTTATATACGTTAAACAACTCATTTGTGCAAAGCATTTTAGAAACCCTATTCTGTCACAACTTAATGATTCGGTGTGGGTTGAAATAAAAGTTCTCAGAAGTAAACCTATCCTTATAAGCTGTGTATACCGACCGCCATCATCCAACCGCGAATAGGATTACGTACTCAGCAACATACTTAATGTTGCATCCAATCTTCCCTTCAGTTATAATATAATTGGAGGTGACTTCAATTTGCCTGATATATCACGGCGTACACTTCTTGGACCCTCGAGGTATGATAATCTTCTTAATTCCAAAATTACAGGAGGATGGACGCAACATATAAATGTACCTACTAGGTCCGATAATATTCTTGATCTTATATTCACGATCAACGTAGCACCATCTACAATTCATGTGGGACATGAATTCCCAGGAAGCAATCATAAAACAGTAGCATGTTCGTTTAATATTACTCCAGAAACTATACACAGAAACGAAGTTAGTCGGACACCTATAAGACTAAACACACATGTTGATTGGGACCTGTATCAGGACTTGATTAGATACTCTAATTGGGATTCCTACTTTACTAATGACTCCTTAGAGGAAGTCCTTAAAAACTTCTATGACAATATGCAGTCTGTTAATGATGTCATAGCGCCTGTGAAACTGATTAAATTCGAAATCCCTCAAGGTGATTTTATCCCAATATCATTGTCAATCACGTCTCATAAACCGTTAATGCCCAGCTCTCGCTACGCTCGGGCCCACGCTGTTCCTTTGAGTTTTCAGAAACGCTTAGTAATAACGGACGCAAAAACCAAAACACCGATCTGCCGCTTGTTATTTCTTTATTGTTACACCAACATATAAAAGGAATAAACGAACTAAGGTCTGTAAACAAATATTACAATAATAAATCGTTATATTACTTCTGACGATGTTTCACTCTTCTTTCTGAACAGCGACCGATGAGACGATGACTGTCGTATTGATGCCTCCGCGAAAATCGGGGAAGTTGATTTTGAGCAAACAACCAAGAATTGATCGTTCAATCTTCAACTCCATTGACACTCCCCGGCAAAAAAGGGATCCAACCCTTTTTTCCTTCACGATCAATGCACGTTGACTTGGATGCCATTGCGAGAACCTGGGTCACACGGACAGAGCTGAAATGGAAAACAAACAGAAAAGCCAACACACCACAAGCATACCCACAGCACAATCTCACACATCAATGACGACCTGCGCCTCCAGACAGAGACCTCCTCTTGACATCTTGCAACACAATCGCCACTTGCTAGAATGACTCTTGCAGAATGCAACGTGACCATAGCACCACCTCATGATACTCTACGCACATCCTCTTATCTACTCACTACCAATTACCACTGAAATCGCTTGTCACTCATTCTGCCTCAGTTCTAGTAGCGGTGACGCATGCGAGCCTCAGTCGTTTACACTCTTTCTCCCCGGCGTGTCGGACCGCAGCTAACAATTATCTCCGTGTGCATTTCATTCTCAGCAATAGCCTAGCCTCCCCGGCGTATACGACCCATCTGCTGTCCTTAACATCAATCAATTCATTCATGGATGTAGAAGACTCGAAACAACTTCAGAAGTAATCACGACGAAAATTTTAACAAAATTACGCAATAACAACAAGATACGAAAACAACAAGTAAACACAATGAATCCAAAATACACCAATTGATATGACACACCACACGTATATACAAACAGTACAAACAACCTCGCCGATCATGTCTTGATGGAATTCCTTTGAAGAATTGCAGGACTTACACCAGTACGCCTACAAACCTTCACAGGTTGACCATTGTAAGTTGTGGAATGTCCGGACACAAACAGAATTACCAACAGCTAGATGACAGATGATATCAATTCAGTATATACAATATGAACATATGTACAAAATCACACACCGAGCACATTAGACTGCTCATTGATGCGCTACCCTTTGAAGAATTGTAGGACTTACAGCAGTACGCCTACAACCCTTCTCAGGTTGACGCTCTAGGTTGGAAAATCATCTATTGTTTCATC